TGGCCTGATATCCGTTTATTTTTTATTGGCCAGGAGTGTATGATATGTCTGTCTAGAACAATCACTGAAAGAGAAATTTAAGCACATCCATCACTTTAGACCAGTTACGATTTACTTTTCTTCTGGGACTTACCTCCCTTCGGACTCATGTTAGGTGTATACATGAATCAATTAGTAGCAATAGTAGTAATCATAACAATAACTACAAATAATAGCTAAATCTGAGCAGGCCAGACGCTGTTCTAAGCACTTACTTGTATTGCCTCATTGAACCCTCACATATTTGGTAGAGAACATAATTATTCTCATTTTGCAAAAATGAAAATGAAAGCTTAAAATGGTTCAGCATTTTGACAAAGGTAACACAGCTGCCAGGATTCATACTCAAGCTGCCTGATTTCAGAATTCTGCTCTTCCCCACTGATGTTCTACCTAATATGGGTTTTATTAGCATGAGAGAAGTATGTGGAGAAGGAGCTGCTGCTGGTGTGTCATTCAGTTCAGGCTGCTATTACAAAATACCATAGACTGGATGGCTTAAAAACAACGGAAATTTATTTCTCACAGTTTTGGAGGCTGAGAAGTCCGAGATCAAGGTGTCAGAAGGTTCAATGTACAGTGAGGGCCCTCTTTCTGGTTCACTGACGGTGCCTTCTTCCTGTGTCCTCACATGGTGGAAGAGGCCAGGGTACTCTCAGCATTTTTTTTTTTCTTTGTTTTTAAGAGACAGGGTCTTGCTCTGTCACCCAGGCTGGAGTGCAGTAATGCAGTCATAGCTCACTGAAGCCTCAAATTCCTGGACTCAAAGGATCTTCCTGCCTCAGCCTCCCAAAGCTCTGGGATTAAAGGTGTGAGCTACTGAGTCTGTCCCTCAGGCCTCTTTTATAAAGGGCACTGATCCCATTATGAAGCCTCTGTTCTTAGGACCTAATCACCTCCCAAAGGGCCACCTCCTAATACCATCATCTTGGAGGTAAGGATTTTAACATATGAATTTAGAGAAGTGGGGGTCACACACATTCAGACCACAGCATTTGACTACCAAGCATCTGCTGAATTTCTACTACTATGGGACTGTAATAATGCCTGCCTGCCTTCCCTTCTCTCTTTCTTTCTCTTTTCTTTCTTTCTTTCTTCTCTTTCTTTCTTCTTCTTTTCTTTCTTTCTTTCTTTCTTTCTTTCTTTCTTTCTTTCTTTCTTTCTTTCTTTCTTTCTTTTTTCTTCTTCTTTCCTTTCTCTTCCTTCCTTCCTTCCTTCCTTCCTTCCTTCCTTCCTTCCTTCCTTCCTTCCTTCCTTCTTCTTCTTCTCTCTCTTTTTTTTTAGACAGACTCTCGCTCTGTCACCCAGGCTACAGTGCAGTGGTGCCATCTCAGCTCACTGAAACCTCCACCCTCAGGTTCAAGCGATTCTCCTGTCTCAGCCTCCTTAGTAGCTGGGATTACAGGTGTGTCACCAGGCTGCTTGTATTTTTGTATTTTTAGTAGAGACAGGGTTTCACTGTGTTGGCTATGGTGGTCTTGAACCCCTGACCTCAAGTGATCCACCCACATTGGCCTCCCAAAGTGCTGGGATTACAGGCGTGAGCCACTGTACGTGTTTCTTATTTCTAGTCTTGCTCCTCTTCTCACCTCCCTCTCAAACCAGCTTCCATACTGCTACCAGAAGGTCCATTCCAAAACACGAACCTGATTTTCTCTTGTGCTAACTGCTCAATGCCTCACAGTTACCTTTACGAGAAGTCCCAACCTCTTTATCACGGAGCATGAAGCTCATCAACACCTGACACCCCATCTCCCCACCCTAGTTCAGGAAAACATCTTTCCTTGTTCTCTGTACTTCAACGATGCCTAATGAATTACAGCCTCCAGATAATACCATATTCCCTCATACTCTCTTGACTTTGCACATATGGTTATTATTATTATTTGGTCAAGAATATCTTTAGGCTCTTTTTTTTTCCCCCCAAGCATAGTATGACATTTCCTCTAGGTTTTCTTCACTGACATCATTCTGAGTTTACCGAGCTTCATTTTTGCTCCCATAGTGTTCTATGCATTATGAAATAACTTGTTTGCCTTCTCAAGAGTCGCTTGAGTGTAAGGGCCTTGTAAGCTGCTTGAGAACAGTCATTGTGACTTATTCACCTCTATCTGCTCAATGAATCTTGGTATAAACACTGAAAAAATACACAGGATGACCCTCAAGGAGCTCAGAAATTAGTGATGTAAAACAAACATTTGAAATTAGGTATTTGTAGTTCAGGAAATGCTATAATAGATAATTGGCTCAAAGAGAGACCCTCATCACAGCTAAACACAACCTCTTAATTTATGATGAGTTTTATCTGTTATGAAAACTAGCCCTTCAGTTTTGAGTACTGTAGTGGTTTTTAGGTGAGATTCCATGTGTCACATAGTGTTATTTCAAAGGCAAAGGCATTACCTTCAAGTTGTTATCCATTATCCACCATTCCCTAATATTTATGGAAAGCCTCTGTCTGTTCAGAATAAGCCCAGAGTAGCTCCCAGTTAGGGAATTCTAAATGCAGCACTGCTAGTGAGTTCAAAAAATATATATTTTGTAATAATACATAAAACATGAATTATATATTGTACCTTATACTGTATATTGTATAATAATACTTATGGATATATTTATATGGAGCTACCTATATATTAAATATATAATCTATATTTTACTGGGGCCACATACATACACATTTTTTACTTGCTAAACACAACTAGGAATCCAGAGTCCAGAGATAATCCGGAAAATCCTCTAGCCCATCAAGACAGATTTGCAAAGTCATGTTTTTGACTTGTAGAAAATACCCTATTGATCTTTTAAGCAGAACAGCCGCAATTTTGTTAATTATCTCTAAGACATATTAGAAAGAACAATTTCACATAAGGGATAAGGGAAGATAGGACTACCATGAACAAGAAAACAAGACAGTAGGACATTGCAGTAAGAGGCAAAAAATAGTACTATTGCTTTGATCCCAGTAATGCGTAGTGTGTTTAATCCTTGGTTAGTTACACAAGGCAGCTAAACTGAGTGGGCATTTCACTGAAGAGAATGCCATCTGAGCACCACGCCCTCTGCTTCACCTATTCAAGCACTTACTATGTGTCAAGCATTGGGCTAGCCATTGAAGGTACAGAAATAAGATATTAGACATGGCTTTCCTGACATTTAGATCTTGTTGCTTAGAAAACACATCTAACAGCTTAAATAGAGTCAAAATAGCAACATCTTGAACACCATATATTTATGCCTCTCACATGATGGTTTGGGTTATTTTGGTTCAGACTTCTCGCTCACTTCTCTCCGTCATCCCCGCAAAGCTAAATTTATTATGATCCTGGATGTCTTACCACCATGTTCCCATTGAGGCTGAAATACAAAATAAAAAGGAGGGTGGTGTTTTTCTTTAGGGAACATATATCATTTCTGTTTATATACCATTGACCAGAACTTAGTCACATGGCTTTAACTTGCTACAAAGAAGACTTGGAAATGCAATCTTCGTCTGGGTGACAATACTCTCCCGAAAATGCCATTGCTGTAGCAAGGGGGAGATTGGATATGGTGGAACAGCTACTAGTCTGCCACCTCGTCTAATAGAAGATGGATGTTTGAATAAAGAAGCACACAAATAAAATGACTCCCAAGTCTCCTTCTCAAAATAGAGATTTCATAAGTTCAATTCTTCCCAATGTGACCTTCCCATTGAAATATACCAGAACCTATCAAAAAGCGAGTCTATAACTCCTCTAACACTAATTCTACCGAGGTGTGTGTTTACATAAGTCAGTGTACAGGTGCAGCTTCAAGCCCAGGTTCACCTTGATTTAGTTGCTTTTTTTATTTTTTACCTTTTTAAAGCCGGATTGTATTTTTTTCCAAATTGACAATTACCTTAAAATTCTTTTCATATTTTTGCCAAGCCCCCTGCAAGGCCACTATCAATATGAAAAAATGATTAGTACAAAGTAAAATTAAAAAGTGAAATAACTCTAAACATTTAAATAAACATTGGCACATACCATTTTTCTCATGGTAATGACCCTGAAAGTGTGGAGCCATCATCCATTTAAGGAAGCTTAGGACTGTTTAAAAATTGCCATCAAAATATATGATTATCCTTATTTTTCTTAAAATGCATGATGAAAGTCTACATGTATTATTTGGAAGATTCATTTACAGAACGCCTCTTTCTGTGAAACTGCTGGATAAATAAAGTTTAGCAGTAGCAACAGTACAAGCTATCACTTATATAATACCTTTTATATAATTGTATTAAAAATTCTAAATATCTTTAATAGAATATTATCAATGTTTCTTGTTTTTTAAAAATTTGCATTACACTGTAAACAATATAAAGGCATTGAAAAATTTTATATTTCTCTATATTCCTTCCATATTAACAACAACCAAACACCTACCATGTGTGAAGTTTCATGCTTGATATCAAGGACACCTAAGAGAATAGAAAACAAAAACACATGTTTTTAGAATAGGCAACTGCTAGATGAAGAGTAAATAGAAATTGATTAGGTGATAGATTTTTCTGGCATGGTACCTGCTTAGGATGAGAGAAAATAAAATTAGGCTGTTGGTCTCTGCAGTTTCCAACAACCTGTGGATAAATACCCATCTCTTGGGAAATCATCCTGCTGTAACATAGGTCTGGCCTGGCAAAACTTCTGTGGTATTCAGTGCAAGTGATTCTTTGCTTAATTTCTTCCCATTACTCATAATTACCCTCTGCCTAAATATACCGGGTGCTTATCCTCTTGAATATCATTCTTAATCTCTGAATGATCATCCCCCACACTTTATTTTCATTTGGCCACGCTCCCACTATATAATTATTTTAATCAGGACCACCATCTTTTTTAATCGTGATAGCAAATGATGCCATTACCAGAGTAGGGTGGAAAATTAAAATTGTTAGAATCCAGTTTGATTTGCTTTGTGATGGTGATTCAGAGGCGATGAGGAGCAGGGGAGTGTATGCTGTGTTGGGCCATAATGAAGATCAGAGGCTGCGTGCTGCCAGAGTGGCATCATCTCCACCCTATGCATGGTTTTCAAGTCAGAATGGAATTGTGGAATTCTTATCTTTTTAATGTTCAGGGAATACTTGAGAATTGAATGCTGCACTTTAGCACATACAACAGTGGCACCTGCCTAGAGGCTTTCAATAAATTTGGTTTAAATAGATTGAAACACAGACCATTTTAAAAGCATTGACTTGACACAGTGTTCCCCCAAACCCTGGTGTACCTATGAGTCATTTGAAGAGTTTTCTGGAATGTTGATTTCTAAGCCTTATTTCTAGAAACTCCGGTTTAGTCCATGTGACATAAGGACCTGGAATCTGCAATTTAAAGAATTGAAAGATGCATCCCACATGATTCTGTTGCTGCTGGTATGTGGATGTCGACTAGGCAGAATATTGGGGAATCTGACATAAATGGTGTAAGCTATGTTGCCCTGAATGATCTTTGAAAGTTAAGGGAATTGGGGATGGAATTTTATGGATTGCTCTACCTTCAATAGAGGTAGTCCATTCATTTCTCATTAAATTCATATTTTTTAACTGACGGATACAAACACAAATATATTAATACAACGTTCCAAGGAGACAATAAAGATGAACTTTTCTGTAATAAAAACTAGATACTCATTATGGGCAAGGACACCTGAAGTTCCAAATTGCTTGCTCACCGCTGAAAACGATATTAATGTTTTATTGTAAGTTTATTCATGTCTATGTTACATTAATCACAAGATGCTATTATAGTCTACCCACACCAGTTCTTACATTTCTTTGTAGAAAATAAATGAGAAGACTAACAGATGTAAAGAGGATAGCTGTTTGATTGATTGATTTTACCTGCATGTCCAACTTTCTACTCCATGCTTACCAAACGAGAGGTGGAACATAAAAGCTTTGAATTACAAAAATATAAAAATACAAAGATAAAGTGTTATTATTCATTAATCACCTCCTCTTTGCTTAAGAAAGCTGTTCTATCTGGGTACAGGGCAGTGAAGAAAGACAAAGGTTCCTATTTCTGCTTCATAAGTCCACTTTTCGACCTTGTAAACAGTGTAAAACTCAATCCAACAAACTCAATTTTTCAGTAGAACCTATCGTCAGTTAATGTCCCTGACCCTTATTTTTCCTATTTCTCTTCTATGGCATTTTCTAATTGTGTCATGTTGTGTCAGGGTATAAACCATGGAAGGAAAAAATGGAAGAGCCCAAACTGCCCATTTGTTGGAAAACAAGCAAATTGACCCACTATTGCCCTTAAATATGCTACTGCAGTTGCTGCAACAGTGTTGGTGATTATGTATGTGGAACTGTTTCTTAGGTGTGATGGGTTTTAAAATTCTGTCTCCTTAGTGATCAGATACTTAAATTTCGTAGACCCTGGCCACATTAAGAATGGGAAGTAAGGCCGGGCCAAGGCGGGCAGATCACAAGATCAGGAGATCAAGATCATCCTGGCCAATGTGGTGAAACCCCGTCTCTACTTAAAAAAATACAAAAAATTAGCTGGATGTGGTGGCGTGTGCCTGTAGTCCCAGTTACTCAGGAGGCTGAGGCAGGGGAATCTCTTGAACCCAGGAGGCAGAGGTTATCATGAGCCGAGATCATGCCACTGCATTCCAGCCTGAGCAACAGAGCGACTCTATCTAAAAAAAAAAAGAAGAAGAATGGGAAATAAGACCAGTGACTAAGTGAATGTTATAGACCCATTGAAGGTCAAGCCAGTGACTTTACTAAATGCAAATCACTGAGTGCCTCTTCAATGGAAGAGACAGTGCCTTTTCATGGATCAAAGTATAGGTAGAGTCTGTCAAGGCTAGGTTTAAATTTATTTTCCTTATACTTTGTATTAATTGTGCAACCTTCTTGGGTTTCACTCTCTCCAGCTATAAAATGGGCATAATAAAACTCTCTTCACGGGATATTGAAAGGATTAAATAAAAGGGTATATCTACATCACATCCTACAATGACCAGTAAATAATTCATGTTTAAGAAATGTTTAATTCCTCATTGTCTTTTGTAGTATGCATACACAGATTTTTAATTCTGTTCCTGACATAGTGTTTGGAAAATGAATGAAATCAAAGTTCCTGGTTCTGACTGCTTACAATCTAAAAATAAATAAAAGGCACACAAATAAAGAACAGCTGAACCAAGTAGTACGTTTATCACAGGATTGGGAATGGAAAGAATATTATTTGTTCTGATATCTGGTATATAAAAAAAGGGGTTTTAAAATGATACTCACTTTTAATTTTCTTTCTGATTTTTCAACTTCACCATATAAATTTGAAAATCTCCTTGCACAGAGATTTCCAGTAGCTACATAATAGTTTCTTTTGTGGTCCTGTGACAATTTATTTTATACTTTCTCTGTTGAAGACACTTAAACTATATCCCCATTCTTTTTTTTTTAACTCTCAATAATACTGTGATTAATCTCTTTTATTATGAAATCTTAAGAAGATCTTTATAAGTGGAATTTTAAGACTTTTCATAAGGCCAAATGCCCATCGAGAAACTTTGCCTTAACGTTTGTATCAAGAGTTTAGCCGCGTGCATGGGTAAGATTTTAATGTGATGTAATGAGATTGGTCTTTGAAGCAAGGGATCAGTGGTCCTAGTCTTGGTAGTAGATGATTTATTTTGCCTAAAACAGATGCTTTCCATGGGGAAAACCATGGAGAAAGAAAAAAGTGTGGATAATCTGGCTACCAAGATTGTCTCAGAGTTGAACTAAGAATTATGGACAACCAAGTGAGCCACTATGAATGAGACAGAAGCAAGACTCTGAGCTCCAGGAGAGTTTTGAATGACCTTTTAGCTTAATATTGCTTTGGTCCCTCTACCATCCCAGCATCTGAATTCTCACAGTGACCCCACACTGTGAGATCATTCCCAGGGCTTCAATTCCTTCATCTGTAGGAAAGGGTTTTGTACAGCCTGGATGCTTGCTGTTGACTAATTGTATTAGCTGTTTTCGGTATGTAACCGAAGTATTTTAACTGCCAAATATTGTCATTAAAACTGTTGAAAAATCTAGTGGTTTCCCCCTTTGACTATTTTCTGAAAACATGTGTTCCCTTTTCCCCAGTTGAAGCTGTGGAAACATCTGGTTGCTTCTCTCACTTCCCATTCTGCTCTGATGAGTTTAAAGTGTACAATTGATTTAACCAGAAATAACTTAACAGCTGATCATATTTCCAAAAAGAACCTTCTTTGCATCCCAAGAAAAAAAAATAAATGACTCAGAAAATCACTTTTTAAATTTGTGTTTAAATTTTCAGGTAACTCTACTGTGTTAAAAGTGTTTTAGTAGAGTTAGGCATGGAGTGAGAAAAGGTAGAGCCAGGAATTTCATTTCCTCTGAATGAGCCTTGCTGAGATCCTTAGAAATAAAAGCCACAACATTCAGAAATTAAAATGTCAACTTTGAATCAATTTGCTATAGCAAAGACAGTTGTACTTTTTAAAATTCAAAATGACAAATTGATTATTAGTGTACATATAACCTTTTAGCTATGAAATGGAGTGCTACATCTCTTTGAAGGCTGCTAATTAGTTTATATTTCATTGGATCATACTGAGAATATAATTTATGGCCCCTTAATTTTTTTCTTCTTTAATATACTTTAAGATGATAACGTTGTTTTCTTTACTATGAACCCAAATAATGCTGTTCCATGCTCTTTGGCACATTCCTCTGCATCTGTTTCCATCTTTCCCATACCTCCTGAAGTGTGGAAAGGGCAAATCCCATTAATCAGATTAGACAGACCAATACTCACCTTTGCCTCTGTCCAGCTCCCTCTCTACACCAGATGCAGGGCAGATCTTACAGTACTCAGAACTGACCAGCAGATTTGCACCTTCTTTATTTACAAGAATTAAATGTGGCTGGGCATAGAGGCTCACTTTGGGAGGCCGAGGCAGGTGAATCACTTGAGGTCAAGAGTTTGCAACCAGCCTGACTAACATGGTGAAACCCCGTCTCTCTAAAAATACAAAAATTAGCCAGGTGTGGTGGTGCTCTCATATAATCCCAGCTACTAGGGAGGTTGAGGCAGGACAATCAATTGTTTGAACCTGGACTGCGGAGGTTGCAGTGAGCCAAGATCGTGCCACTGCATTCTAGCCTGGGTGACAGAGAGAGATTCCGTCTCAAAAAATAATAATAATAATAAAATAAATAAATATAGGGTGTCAGAAGCAGACAAATAGACATACAAAAATCTCAGGAGACATGAAGGACAGTAGGTTCTGAAAACAAACCAGCAAATGTATTGTCCTATTTATTTTCATAAATACTACTATTCCCCTTAATAATTAGGATTTTAAAATTCAAAATTCTGATATATCAGGAGGAGTCCTAAACAGTACTGATTTAGTTTGCCAGGGTGGCCATAACAAAATGCCACAGATTGAGTGGCTTAAAGAACAAAATTTGATTCTCTCATAGGTCTCCAGGCTAGCAGTGCATAAGCAAGGTGCTAGCAGGAATGCTTTTGTTCCAACACCTGTCCCCTAGAGAGTGGAGATGCCTGCCTTCCTCCTGCGTCCTCACACAGCCTTTCTTCTCCACTTGCACACCCCTAGTTTCTATTCTGAAGATGAGACCTTATAAGGACACCAGTCTTATTGGATTTGGGCCCCACATAAACAGTCCTATTTTACCTTCATTTTTTAAAAGACATTATATCTTAATAGAGACACATTCTGAGGTCTTCAGGGTTAGACAGCAACATAAGAATTTGGGAAGAATACAATTCAGTTCATACAGTTCATAACATTCTGCTCTTTGGACCCCCCAAATTGCTATTCTTCTTACATGCAAAATGCAATCACTCCATCCCAACAGCTCAAAAATATTAACCCATTTCAGCACCAACTCTAAGGCCCAAATCTCATTAAAATATCATTTAAACTAAGTGTGAGATCCAACGTATGATTCATCCTGCTGCAGAATTTTTCTCCAGCTGTAAACCTGGGGGAACAGACAAGTTATCTGCTTCCAAAATATAATGGCAGGA